AGCCATGCTGGCTGGGGAATTCTGGGAGTTGAAGTCCACCCATCTTAAAGCGGCCAAGGTTGAGAAGCACTGGCCTAGACTCACACACCATGCAAAACCTACAACCCGGGGTTATAAATCCCAGGGTTATGTTCACACACTTAAGTACAGAGTAGCTGTTGTCAGCCACAGGATGAACCACAGATGACTTTTTCCCATTGCGAGGAGGTCTCAAACTGTGGGGCATGACTCAGGAGAAGGGGGCAAAGCAGAAGAGTAGCCAAAACCCGAACGAGGGCTTGCTCGAGTGTCCAGAGCAAGTTTTGAGACATGGTTAAACCCTGGTTCCCACAATAAGAAGTCCCGTCAAGGTGGCTTGCCACCGGCTGGTAGCTTCCCCCGTGCCGCGTAATCTTTCCAGGGTCTGACAACCTGTACGCCTTCCTGAATTTCAGGATTTCTAGCTGTTATTTTCAAGTTCTAGATGGCATGAAAAAAGGCGATATCAACAAAGTACGGTGGAAGATCTATATCTTCCATAAGTACAGGGTTTTTGTGCCCAACCCGAACCACGATGAAATCAATGTTTTATTCACAGAGGGGCACCCAAATTAATTTATCATTTTAGGGGAGTCACGGCATTGCAAAGTTTAATCGCCTCTGGCCAAACTACAGTAAGGGACTATGATCCTAAAGCAAAGTATTGCCAGCAACAGACTTGGAAAGGGTTATTTTTATTTTTCATAGATTAATTCATCTCATGAGCGCTTTCGATGCATCCAAAAGCAAGTGTGAAAACACTCTGGGAGTTCACAAAGCCACAGACTGCACAGCAGATGAAGGATATGATTGTGCTCATATTACGTTGCCATGTTTTTCTGAATAAACAAAAAATGTGTAGCTTACACTACACCAAAACAAATCATAGCAGCTGGGATTGCTCAGTCATATTTCAGTTGCTCTTGTGGTGCATACCCAGCCTGTGTGGTTAATTGACAGTTTCCCAAAATACTGTATTGTAATACTAATTTACAATTTCACAAAATACTGTGAAAATCCAAAAAAATGGATTGAGTTAATCA